GCCAGCCTGAGCCATCCCAGCTTTGGGTAGAAGGAGGAAGACTTAAGTTTCTCATAGCTGCACGGAGTGCTTCAAAGTTAATGACATAAAAAAAAGTTAAATTGCTTTGACCATTTCTGTCCCAAAACAGAGAGAAACCTGTGCACCCTCTCCCAGCCTTTCTGTTCTGCTGTGCAGGCAGCACAGAGCGCTTCACATCATCCCCACCCCCTGCCACTGACGTCACACAACCTCTCCACCAGGGCAGAAGAGCAGCCACTGTTCATTGTGGCTCCCTGCACAACAGAACAGCTTGGCCAAGCTCCAGCACTTCATGTTTCAAGCCCTGCTGCTGCCACATGCCCCAGTTTGTGTGTGCCAGCGAGGCCCATGTGCCAGTCAGACTGGCAGGGCAGTCCTGCCTCCTCTGCTGACTGCCTCCAAGGTCTGACTGCTTCCATGGCCAAGCATGGACGTCCTGCTGCTGTGCTCCCACAGCCAACCCCCTACACACCCCCAAACCTACAGAGGTGTCTCCAAATCCAGTGTCTTCAACAACAGCCTATAGTATATCTATTTATTTCTGGGCCTTCACTCCCTTTCAGTTCCTACTTGTAGCACAAACCCACGGAGGATGGTGGATTGGACACTTTTAACCCCATGGCTCTTTCCCAGGTGGAAAGACCTCAGGCAGCCTGTAGTATATCTACTTATTTCTGGGCCTTCACTCCCTTTGAGTTCCTACTTGTAGCACAAACCCATGGAGGATGGTGGATTGGACATTTTTAACCCCAGGGCTCTTTCCCAGGTGGAAAGACCTCAGCTTCACTGCTCAGAACAGCTTTCTCTGCAGTGGGGTGGACAAAGCCCAGGTTGTGGTATAGGAGACCACCCCATAGTTCCTTGTGGCTTTATGTTTTTGGCCATCCAGCTGCTTCAGCCATGGCATGGACCAAGGCATTTAGAAGATCTCCCTCCTTGCTGAAGAGCATGAAGAGTGAACCCACTGCTGCTTGTTCCAGGTTGTAAATGGTGACAGAAGGTGGACAAAAAGCTCTTGCCATGTTTGTTGTTGTGGAACAGGCAAGTGAGAGAAGGAAAGGGACTGGAAAAAGAAATAGAAAACCACTCTCTTGTTTTTTTTAAGAAATATGAATTATTTCAGCACAACGTTCCTGTGGTTTCCTGCCATGCAAAAGGAGCCCTCCATTCCTGTGGGTGGCTCTTCTCTGATCAGCCTCAAACAAGGCTAGGATAGACATGAGACTTCTTGAGACTACACTTTCACTGAACTACTCCACCAGCACCAAGCTGGCTGGTTCACCACAGACCTCTGCTGCATTGCATATTCTTCACTCAGAGAGGCCTGGCATAGAGCACTGGCTGAGCTGCTTGTTTGACCAGATTTGTGTGACCAAAACCACACCTCAAGCCTGGCCATGTCAGCTTTAGCCTTCCTGACTGACAAGGTGATAGCAGAAAACCCCAACTCTCCAATCTTCTGAAAAATGCAACCACCCAAACCAACCACAATACATTGTGTTCAGGCCTGGAAAACAGAACACGTCTCAGCTTCATTCTTTGTTTCCAATCCATGTTTCCAAGCTTTCAGTGCTGTGTTCCACCATCCTCCATCCAAAGTGGCTCTTCTAGAGGCAGCAGCAGTTTCTCACCTGTGGTTCCCTGCAAACTCGATGCCTCTTTCTCCTGCCAAGATGTGTAAGCCCAGATGGGAGCACAGAACATCAGCAAGCAAACCCTCATCTGCCTTCTCAAAGACTCACCTCAGACCAGACCAAACTTAACCCCAAGACTTTCATCACTACAGGTAACTCTCACTTTCACCATCAACCTAAAGACACTTGAAAGCCAACAAAGCAGCAAGCTTTAATGAGATAAAGTCAAGTCACTTTGCTTGATGAGATTTAGTGTTTTCAATTTGGAGTGGCACGAGGCCAGAATACCTTTTAAAAACTCTCTGCCAGTCTCCCCTCCTCAGTATCCAGTCTTAGGGATTAAAAATAAAGGGGAACTATTAAAAATAAAGGAAATTGGGTTGTTTGGAGGGTTTTTTTGTTGTTAAGGTGACAGGCATAGTTATCAAAGTTGAAAGCATTTACTGGCAATTCAATAAGTGCTTAAAACAGGCACATGGCCTCCATTAGGGAGGCTGAAGTCAGACTCTACAGTTTAAAGGCAATCTTACACTCTGCATCACTGTCAAATACCTGAGCTGGAATAATTGTTTCTGTCCAGTCTGTTCAGCTGACATCCTGCTGCCCCTCCTGTACGTCTGTTCAGAGCCAGGCCACGAAAGACCCATGGTACTGACTTTGAGCCAGTTATTATTGGTCTTCCTTTCTAATTAATACACAATAAATGTGTATTAATAATGTGCAACGCCCAGAGAAGTGCCCACAGTGAAACCCATGAACTAGTAAAGAGAAGTTTCAGTATTTTATTAAAATAGCATATTCAACCACTGTAACCAATAATACATTAACTTTATTCCCAGAGCACGCACAACACAGTAGTGATTCAAAATATCCTTATCCATGGTCATCAATGAAAATATCTCAAATTCAAGTGTACACCTACCACTAAACCTTTGAAAAAATCTCTCCTTTAAAGAATACATAAAGCTCTCATACAGATTTCTTTTAAACTCCTTTATAGATGTCAGTCTCTCTTACCTGACAACACCACTAGCTTTTTTCTTATGCATAGTAGAACATCTCATATTTTATAGTACCCATTTTATAAATAAATTGGCATTTCCATCCCATTTGTGTTTATCTTCAGCTTCACAAAGAAACCAGTAAATAAAACTGTCGAGGACAGTCACAACAAAATGATCTCACAGCAAGATATAAAACTTGAAGATACTAAAAGATGCTTCTACTCTATTTTACATAAAAAGACAGATTTAAAAAGTGCAAGGCAAGATTTGCAGGGGAAGGGGAATATTGTTATTTTTAGGCACATCCACTTCTTTAAAGCAAGCTTCAGAATGAAATTCCAGTTTGTTCTTCATGACACCTGTTTCAAAGTCTCTCTCCAAAAAAAAAAACAACAAGAAATAAAATATTACATCCGTCCAACGTTAAGCAGGGAACTTCCTGTCCAGCTCTCAGTCTTCAGTTATGCCTTGTTCTTCCTTTCTTCATCCTGGCAGGTTTTGGTTTGGGAATATACTGATTGTTTGCCTGGTACTCAAGTTCCTTACGGAAGTAATGAATTGCTTTATTCAAACCTTCCTCCAGCGGGACCTGTTGCCAAAAGTGAGGAGAGAAGCACATCCCTAAGTTCCCCTCAGCTCTTTCCACAATGGTATCTTTTTAAACACAGCTACCAAAAGATTGCTAGGAGGTCTCACTCTTGGCCAATATAAGGATTAACAGCACCACACACTGGTTACATCTCTGCACTGCTGATACATGCTGGCTTTTAAACACCACATATAGATTTTCTGATGAAGGAAGTCAAAAAACCCCCAACAAATCTGAGTGTCTCCAGATGGTTATGATTGTTTAGTGTCTAAACAGACTTCCACCTTCAATTTATAAAACACTGAAAGAGATAAGCACAGAGAAATGTAATTTCTTCTGTTTTTTTATGAATCCAGTTCCTCCTCTGCAGAACTTCATGGAATGGCACATACCACAGAAAGGTCTAAAGGGGATGGGTTGTTTTTTAGCTTATTTTTTTCAGTTTTATTCCCTCAGTGCCTCTCTGATACACAGAAAAAGGGATAGAAATTATCATCCAGGATCTCATTTGATATTCTTAAAATCCTATACAAGTAATTGTAACTCTTCACATTCTGTGTCTGTATTTAAGCACTCTGATTTGTAGACAGGAACAGGAATACTACCTACATTTCTCAGGGGCCATATGCTCTCTCTGATTCTTGCTGTATTATCTGTACAGAGGATCAGAGAGCAGCACAAAACCTACTTGCCTTGATGTACCAACACTGTTCTGCTACTTCAGAGTAAGTTTTGGTACTGACTGTGCCAAACACAGAAGGCCAAAAGTTTAAACATTATCTGTTTTGTGATTCAAACCCTTGCCACTGTCCTTGTGCTTTCAGGCACAGCCTGTTAATACCTGGCACCCCTGTGAATCCTTTCAGAAAGGCTGAGGAAGGTGAAACCAGCAGCCATGGGCATTCTGCATTTCTTGTGAACCACCACAATGCTGGTGGCACCTCTCTGGCTGGTAACTGAGCATGGAGGTGGACAGGCATTACTGTGGGTGGTGAGATGTCACATTGACCCTGAGCACATCCTGAGCTTACCAACACACAGAACAAGCTCTGAACATCTCTGTGTGTGATACCTGTGATTCAAAATGAGGGTCACTCCACCAGAATAAAAAAATATATCATCCCAAATATGTCATCTCTGCCCTGGTTAGGTTCTGTTCTGCCTGAGTTCCACATACTTCCCTCTAATTGAACTCTAAAAACCCCAACACTTTTCTGCTGCTCAGATTTCTCCCTATGAAATCAAAAAGCTTTTTGATTACAACGATGAACTTCAAAATTGTCTTATTCCAAAGATTTTCCTAAAAATCTAAAGATTCTCAGAATCTAAAGGGTTTTTTTTTGAAAAAAGCACTGTTTTCTCCCCATAATGCTTTCTACCACAGCAGAACAGGCACGAGGATTGCAGCAACAGCAAACTCATTACCCATAACCATGGGCCATGTATTTTGAGGGACTCATCTGGCCTACAGAAAGGTACATACTTCATCACATGCATGTGAAACAGTTAAAATGCCTATCCTAAAAAATTTATTTTATTTCAACTTAATTGAAAAAAATGGATGGGCTGAGAACTGGCTTCACAATAGAGCCCAAAGTGTGGTGATCAGTGGTGCCAAGTCCAGCTGGAGACCTGTAACCACTGGGATCAGTGCTGGGTCCAGTCCTGTTCAACATCTTCATTAATGG